GGACCCTCTGAGGTTGCACTTCCACCACATTGCCAGGAAAATTCCCCCCTTTTTGCACTGCCTTTTAACACAATCTCTCAGCGGTTGCCGTTTACATAATACCCTGATGAGGAGGCGCTCCAAAGAGTGGGTAATCACGCTGCTATTGTGCACAGAGGCGTGCAGATCCAAAGGCGCAAGGGATCCGAAGTGTGCCGGGCGTCCCGACAATGACGGTCTTGGCGGCTGTGAATTTTCCGGCCGTGGAAAAATGAAGGCCCAAATTTGCAATAAGCTACTCATTGTTAGTTAAGCAAAAGGCGCAGGCTGGAATGTAAAGCGGGGGCATGGCCCCAATTCAATGCTCATCACAGCAATCTGTTTGCTTTTGATTATGTCACGGAATACCACTCGCTGACTCTTTGTTTGCTTCTCAAAGCCATTCGAAGGAGAAGAGTAGAAAAGGTTCCCTGGTGTGGGATAGTGGACAGCGTGATGTAGTAGGCCCTGCAGGAGAGCAGTGTTTGAATCCCCCCCCCCGCTATTCCATGAAGCTTGCTGGAAGACCTTGGGCTAGGCTGAGAGTGGCTGGGCTACCTCACAGGGCTGTTGTAAGAACAAAATGAAGGCGGAGGAGATCATGTATGCTGCCCAGAGCCAGTTTGGTGTAGTGATTTCGAGTGCAGACTCTAATCTGGGAGAACCAGGTTTGATTCCCCGCTCCTCCACATGCAGCTGCTGGTGTGACCTTGGGTCAGTCACAAGTTCTTTCAGAGCTGTTCTCTCAAGGGCAGTCCTCGAAAGAGCACTCTCAGCCCCACCTACCTCACAGGGTGTCTGTTGTGGGGAGGGGGAGGGAAAGGAGATTGTAAGCCGCTCCGAGACTCCTTCAGGTAGTGATGGGCGGGGCATAAATCCAATCTCTTCTTCTTGGAGGAAGGGTGGGTTTGAAATGTAGTAACTACATGTGATTCGTAAAAGAGCCAAAGAGATTCGGTCCCCCGGGATCTCCAGTTAATAACACAGTGATATGAAAGACATCACCTCTGCCTGAGAACCTGGAGAGCCGCTGCCAGCCAGAGTAGACATCACTAACTATAATAAACCAGGGGTTCAACTCAGAAGGCAGCTTCATAAGATATTAGATGGGTCTGACATTCACTGTCATGGCTTAGTTAACATACGGTGAGAGAGTCATGCCCCCCCCCCCATGAAATAGGCTTGCAGTTCTGCAGTTTGCAGTTCTGCACTTTTGTAAAAAGGAGCTGCGGTGGCTCAAGTGGTTAAGACGCTGAACTGCAGGCTGTGGAAGGTCAGTAGTTCAGCAGTTCGAGACCTGGGTGCCGCATGACGGAGTGAGCTCTTGTCTCTAGTTCCAGCTCCTGCCAGCCTAGCAGCTCGAAAGCAAGAAATTGCAAGTAGATAAATAGGTACCACTTCGGTGGGAAGGTAACAGCGTTCCGTGCGCCTTGGTGTTTAGTCATGCCGGCCACATGACCACGGAAACGTCTTTGGACAGTGCTGGCTCTTCGGCTTTGAAACGGAGATGAGCACTGCAACCCTGGAGTCGGACTCGACTGGCTTTCGAGCAAGGGAACCTTTACCTTTACTTTTGTAAAGCCTTTTCCTGAAGCAATCAAAATAGGCTTTTGCCAGGTCCCTTGTTGCTCCAGTGGGGGGCATTCTGGGACATCCCCCGTTGTGATGATGTCACCCCGAAATGACGCCATCACGCCAGGAATGTCGCATGGGGACACTCTGCTGTGAGGGCGATACTCTGCTAAAACCGGCTTAAAACGTTTTGCCCTCAAACCAGAGCGTCCCTACAGGGCATCCCCAGTGTGATGATGTCACTTCCGGGTGAGATCATCATGTTGGGGAAGTCACGTGGGGACGTGGGTGTTTGGGGGTGGGATTTCCCCCACCGGCCAGCTGGTTGGCGGTGGACAGAAGCCCCCAAAACTGCTTTGCCCCGACCTGGGGACTGGCAAGTCTAAATCAAAACTTTGCAAGCATGCATGCAGTAGGAAATGCCTTGTGAGGCTATATGTTCACTAGCACCACTAGGGAGCACTGTGCAATGAAACCAGGAAAGCTGACAGGGAAATAGAAGTTTCTCTTTTCTCCCCAACGTGACGCCCTGGCTATCTTTTAGTCACACAGCAAAGAATGCAGCGGCCTTCCTGCGTGGTTGCCTTCTAAGCAACTGCTGTTTTCAGGTATACTGCCTCTGAACATGCAGGCTCCATTGAGCCATCACAGCTAATAAATCAATGGCTTTCCCTCTCTGAATTTATCTCTTCCACTATTGAATGCGTATTAAATGAACTGCCTACCTTTGGGAACCTTTTGGCCAGATTGGTGTGATTTCGGAGAAAGCACTGTGCATTACAGACGCTTGGGGGGACACACGCTTGTGTTACGTGCGGGCCCAGCCTGGCCCATCTAGCCCCATCATAGCCTTTAATGTTTAGTAGTGTATTAAAATGTGCAGCTTCAGTCCACCCCACCCCCCCAAAAGGGGTGTGTGTGTTATTCTGGAGTGTGCCGAACACCCTGGTCCAAGCCACAACATCACACGCCACAACACCACAAGTCACAACATCGGAGAAATTGCTAGGGCTTTACTCAGGCATGTATGTTTGGGATTGGGATGCTGTCTGACCTAATCATTGCGTGGTTTGATTTTAAAAACATGACTCTTTTTTTTTTTACGGCCTTAGTGAGTAAGGTCAGCCGGTGGCCTTCTTTGGAAAGTTAGTTTGGCTTACATGTGAAAGCATGGCCAAATGTGCCTTTCTTTGGGGGTATTACAATTCGTTCTGTGTAAGTGCTGATATCTGTACGAGGAGCAATTGGCGCAGCCTCCAGAGGAAGTAAGCCCTGGCCTTACGGGAGTTCAGGGACCATTAATGACTGTTAAGTGGGAGATCCAGCCAGCTGCTCAAGTTTGCACCATGCTCATGGTGAAAACTGCAAAAATTACTAGTCCTCAGTTAAAAATTACTGACCTGCCTGCTAATGCGTGCTGTGGTAAAGGGATGGATTATCCTTTGTTTCTTTAAAGAAATCATTTACAGGGTTTTTTTTGGGGGGGGGGATCAGTGTTTAGCTTTTAATGGTTGGTTTTGTACTGTGTGGCCTAAACCTTATACACTATCTATGTCACATACATCATTTATCACAGTACCTGGGTTAAGAGCACATGAGGTCAGCCTCCTAAAAGAAACATGCTTTTAGTTCAAAGCTGAGTGGCTAAGAGTTTGTTGTAACAAAATGATAACATCCAGGGGTGTAAATGGTCAAGAGTAAATGGATAGTTGAGCCTGGTATGGTGGCAAGGCACAGGGTTTTCATAATATGTTATATTGTGTTTAGGTCAGTGTTTCCCAAGTGATGGCACTTAAGTCAGTGTTTCCCAAGTGATGGCAGTTAGCTCAGCGTTTCCTTATTAATTTATTTAGAGGAAAACGATATTAGCTATTTATTTATTTATTTAGATATTTATACACACTTTTCCCCCCAGATGGGGACCCAGTGGGACTTATATCTTTCCTTCTCCATTTTGTCCCCACAACAACAACCCTGTGAGGTCGGATAGGCCGAATGACTGGACTCAAGTCACCCAGCAGGCTTCCATGGCAGACTGGGGATTTGAACCTACGTATCAAGTGGTTAAGACGCTGAACTGTGGGCTGTGGAAGGTCGGTAGTTCAGCAGTTCGAGACCCGAGTGTGCCGCATGACGGAGTGAGCTCCCGTCTCTAGTTCCAGCTCCTGCCAACCTAGCAGTTCGAAAGCAAGAAATTGCAAGTAGATAAATAGGTACCACTTCAGTGGGAAGGTAACAGCGTTTCCTTGGTGTTTAGTCATGCTGGCCACATGACCACGGAAATGTCTTCCGACAGCGCTGGCTCTTTGGCTTTGAAACGGAGATGAGCACCGCAACCCTAGAGTCGGATTCGACTGGCTTTCGAGCAAGGGAACCTTTACCTTTACCTTTATCCCAGATCTTGGTCTGACATTCTAACTACTACATGTCAAGGGCAATATAATACTCAAAGAGGTTTTTAAAAAGTAATAATACCCTAAGTGTGACAGCAGTAATTACAGATAGTGATCATTGATTAATAAATAAGTCAAAAGTATTACTGAAAGTAAGTTTCCAAAAACAACAACGAAGCAGTAAAAACAAAACGTAATAAAAAGCCAGCAGAGATAATAGAAACTGAAACCATTGAATTAGAACAACCAATAAATATTAGAGAGCCTGCAATGAAAAGCCCAGTTGAGGTCCGTCAGCATCTGTTAAAATAGGCCGGCATCTAAAACAGCAAAGACATTAGAAGGAAAGTCTTAATGTGTCTTCTGAAGGACAGGAGGGGATGATGCCAGGTGGGCGTCCACGAGAGGGAATCCCATACAGCTGAAGTGACTGCAGTCAAATTATGTCTAAGGGATACATTTATTTTGTATTCTAAAAAGGAGATATGTGTCATCATCGCCCCTCAAAGGGTTTAGTTTTAGAGCAAGGAAGAAGAAGAAAAACCTGCCTATTTTCATATGCGCATACCCCTTGGAAATCTGCTTGAGCTGTGCATCTGGAAGTACTTCCTCTTGCAAGAAGGCAAGAAAAGAGACACATGCAGAGATGCAACAGGGAGCCTCCTCCAAGGCCGGGCAATTGTGCATCAGGCGTAATCTGATAATTTGATTACACCTGATGTAGAGTCATGGCGCTATGACTTTCTACCTGCTGCAGCAGATCAGAAGGAAGGCAGCACGTGCAGAACTGATAATCATGCAGAGATGCAGCAGGGTAGCCTCCTCTGTGTATGGATACTGTCCATAGGAGCCTATTTAAGGAGTGAATGAATGTATTCCTTGTGGCTCTTTGCATGCCCTCAGGACCAGTTGGAGAGCCACAGCATTAGAGGCTAGAATTGAGTTCTAGCAGAGAGACGTCTCTGTGAAATGTTTGCCTTGGAACATTAACCTTGTGCCTTGCCTTCATACTTTTAGGTCCGGGTGATGCTGGAGCTCTGCAACGGCACCAAAGGAGTATGTTTAACAGGTAGGTTGGCAAAAAGGGGGCATATGAACCGAGGGGCATACTTTGCCCTGCTGACACTGGCGCAGTAAGTGGTGTTAAGTGGCCAAGGTTTAGAAAATTTTAACTTCTGTTGGGGGGGGGGGATGTCACTGTCCCTTAGAGCTCAAACCAACAAGACTATCATCATGTGTCCCTAAATTGTAAATTACCACCTCAGTTTGCCTTAGGAGCGTGCAGGGAAGGAGTTTAACCCTTTGACCTCCCATCAGCTTGTAGCACTGTTCTACTTTGGCAGTGCTTAAATTTTGCTGAGCTGTATCGCGTGTTCTGTGAGGCAACATGCAGAGAGCTGGTTCAGGGGCACTAGATAACCTAAGCAGAATAGTTTTTGGGTGGCATAGGGCAGTGTCTGTGGAAAGGCGCATGTACCATGAACCCCAGAGCGATTGTTTTCGCTCCAGTGAGACCTCCTTGCAGAACCTGTACTCTGTCCAAGAGCAGCCTGCTGAAATATAACTTGCCTCTGATTTGGGGGACAGAGTGTGGTTCATTTGCTTCCTTTTAAAGATTAGATTTCAATAAGTAGAGTTTTTTTCAAAAGAACACTAGTTGTCCCCCCCCCCCCAATGCGGTATTATCCTGTGTAGGTTCTGTAGTTTTCTGTGTGAGTGAAGCAGAAAATACATTTTCTGTACAGTGAAACCTACTGTTGATGGCTCCTTCTTTAAATTATAATCACCGCAATTTCTTGGTTGGTAGCTATGAAGTTAACCAGGTTGCTAATGCATTTCAGTATGCTGAGATGCTCAAAGGCTGGGGTCTCCAGTGTGATGCCGTGGAACCCCAGCTTTAGAGCATGTCTGCATACTGAAATGCACCAATACCTTACTTGGTGCCCGCTGAGTGTTTCCAGAAAGTAGGTGGAGCCACTTCTGATTGGCCATTGGACATCTGATTGACTGTGCCGATTAAAATAACATTGTTTCCGCGACAGCAGCCACCACAATGTTGGTGTTATTCTCTGTGTCATTCGATACTTTTAAAATTGCCTCTCTTTCCCCCGGCACTTGGACTTCTCATGTGCCTCTGTGTGGCTCCACCCGCTGTGGCAGCCATTTTGAGCTTGCGCCCTCCACCCTGTGTCAGAACTCCAGAGGTCCCCACAGGGTTGTGGCCCCCTGCTCTAAAGCTTACAAGTATGTTAAAGTTAAAGTTTCCAAACTGTTTTGGTCTCCCGTTCAGTATTCGGCTGGCACAGTATAACCAATCACGGTCTCCAATTCAGCTGGCCCAGCCCTTACCCATAAGAACTCTCTTCTCAGTTTTAATATCAAGTCATGCCTCCTATTTATTTTCTGTTCTTTGTTTGGTTTTGTTCTAGGGCCCCCAGGATTACCAGGTAATTTGCCTTTTCTTCTTATGTTGCTGTCAAAACTATTGGCGTAGTTGAGTATTCTTGCACAGTGGATAAAAACTAGGGGCGGCATGAAGGAGTGGGTGTTCGGGGTGAGTTGCCGAGGCCCGAAAGCCGTGGGAAGGCCTGCCACTGTACAGCAACAGTTATCCTTTTTCTCCCTGACTGGCGGTAGTGCTGGTGTTAGGCTAGTGTTGCCAGCCCGGCACCAGCGAAAGCTGGGAGGTTTTTTGGGGTGGTGCCTGGGGAGAGTGGAATTCCAGAGAAACATGGTCTCACTTTCCAGATGATGTTCTAGGAATTTCCATAATCTCTATGGTCTTTGCCATACAGACTGGGGGATTCCGAGAAATTCACAATTGACACCATCTCCCCCATTTTTCTTCCACAGCTCAAATTATCGAGGGCAGATGAAAAACACACCTTTTCTTCTTTCTAAAGGTGGTTAGCGGGTGTTTTTCTTCCTTCTCTGAAAACCGAATGTTTTCTAAACAACCTCTGGAAAAAGTTGTCAGTAGCTGTCCTTGCACAATGTTGTACTCAGTGTCTTAATATAGTTTTTTTTTTAACCACCGGTATTACAGAACCATCCGAAACTGCCGACTCCCACTCAAAGCCGTTTGAAAGCAAATTGAATAGCTCTGCTTTTAATTTCTACTGCCGACGGTGTCCTTTTCCCTCCATAAGGCGTCAATTAAAACCCCAGATATTATGAAACTCTAAGGATGCAATGACTGTATTGGCACAGCTTTAGAAGGAGCTCTTCCTTTCACTGCTGCTTGCTTCATAGCTTCCAATGCTCCTTCCCTGCCTATTGGTCTTGTACAGGGATTCATACGTTTAGCGATCACATAAAAAACAACAACACCCCGATGTTGTATGGTTCTGCAGAATCTGTAGAGATCACAGATGCGTTGTGGTGGTGGCAGTGAGGTCAGTGTCGGTGAAGGGAGGGGGAGGGGAGGGGTGGGTCACCCCCCTATCTATTCCGGGGTTTTGCTCTTCAGAGTTTGCTATCTTAAAGTGAAGATATTGGAATGCATGTCCAGCAGTCAGGAAAAGATCGATCTGGAAATAGGGTGGAGCTGGGGGAATCTGGTAATTCCTAGTGAATCTGCTCCTTGTAGAAACATAGAGCTGGAAGGTACCCCAAAGGTCATCAAGCCCACCCCCCCTGTACAGTGCAGGAGATTCACAGCTCCCCTCCACACTTCCCCAGTGACCCCTGCTCTATGACCAGAGGAAGCCAAAAACCTCCTGCATCCCTTGGCCAATCTGGCCTAGAGGGAATCCCCCAAAGTATTGATTGACATATAAGAAAGGGTCACAAGAGTGGAGCACTGGCTCGTCTCTTCCTGCCCTCCCTCTCATGATCTGCCTAAATTCACAGAATCGGCATTGCTGTCAGAGGGCCGTCTAGCCTCTGCTTAAAAACCTCTAGAGAAGGAGAGCCCACCACCTCATCCCGTGGAAGCTGGTTCTGCTAACTATCAAGCAGTTCTTCCTAATGTTTAGCCGAAAACTCTTTGGATTTCATTTCAACCCGTTGGCTCTGGTCTGACCTTCTGGGACAACAGAAAACCACTCTGCTCCATCCTCTACATGACAGCCCTTCAAATACTCGAAGATGGCTATCCTATCTCCTCCACCTCCTCCTCTGTCGCTTTAGGGAAAATGAGGAAATACCGGAGGGAAAACTGTGCATGTTTAATGCCGCATGTCCTCTGAGCATGAAACCAATTCATTAGGGAACACATGAAATTATGTCCTTATTCAAGGCTTGCTTGGTCCTTTCTGGTTCACCTGCTGACAACCAAGCAGGGAGCCCTGTATAGATTACGAGAAAGTTGGTTCTTTTTCCTTTTAGGCTGTCAGAGGATCTCATGTAAATGAAAGTTTTCCTTTCCTTTCATTCTTTGCTGTTAGGGTTGCCAGCTTTGGGTTGGAAAAGTCCTGGAGATTTTTTTTTTTGGGGGGTGGATCCTTGGGGAGGAGAGGGGTTTGGGGAGGGGAGAGGCTTCAGCAGGGCATAATGCCATAGAGTCCACTGTCCAAAGCGGCCATTTTATCCCAGGGAACTGAACTCTGTTGTCTGGAGAATGGTTGGAATGGTTGGAATTCTGGGGGGTCTCCAGCCACCGCCTAGAAGTTGGCAACTTGATTTGCAGTAGGGAAGCCCATTCCTCTGCTAGCTTTTTTTTTGGGGGGGGGATAACGTTTGTTTCCCCTGGCTCTCTATCATCCTGCAGGCAGGACAAAAGCAGGTTGTCCGTGAATACATTTATGAGTTTGCATTGCATAGACCTCCTCCAGACGTGGCATTTCATGAACTTCCTCTTTCTTGGAAAAGGTTCACGTTCCACCCACTTGCGTTTCCCTAGCACATTTAAGTGTGTGAGTAAATTGTGCTTGGAATATGTCATTGGGACAGATGTTAGGACCGTGAAACTTTTCTTCCTCTCCTTGAAGGATATTGGATTGGATCCCAACTGCAGTTTTTGTGAGACCAGACTCATGCCATCCGACTCCTGTCTGCTTGACCAGGGACGCTCTGGGACAATGATGCTCTGTATTCTTGGTGCTGGGGCGGCAACAGTGGGAGGGCTTCTGGCGTTCTGACCCTGCTGGTGGACCTCCTGATGGCCCCTGGGTTTTGTCCACCGTGCGACACAGAGTGTTGGACTGGATGGGCCATTGGCCTGATCCAGCATGGCTTCTCTTATGTTCTTATGTTGTGTTCTTAATGATGGTTAAGCTGTAACACAGCATCCTTCATTATTGGTTGTTCAGTACATTTTTGTTCCACCTGTCCCCAAGGAGCTCAAAGTGGCCATGTTCCTCTGTTTATTCCCATGCAACTGCCCTGTGAGGCAGCTTTGGTGTAGTGGTTCAGTGTGCAGACTCTAATCTGGGAGAACCGGGTTTGATTCCCCATTCCTCCACTTGCACTTGCTGATGTGACCTTGGGTCAGTCACAGACTCTGGCACAGCTGTCCTTGAAAAAGAGCAGTTTGTGTCAGAGTTCTCTCAGCCCCACCCACCTCCCAGGGTGTCTGTTGTGGGGAGGGGAAGGGAAAGGAGTTTGTAAGCCGCTCTGAGACTCCAAGTGAAGGGCGGGGTATAAATCCAATCTCTTCTCTTCTTCTTCATTGGTTAAGCGAGAATGGCCCAAGATCGCCCCACAAGGTTTGTGGTAGAATGGAGAGGTCTGAACATGGGTCCTGCCCAGGGGTCTCATGGAGGGGGAGCGCTCCGGAGCCCCGCTCCGGGAGTGACCAGCCCAGGGGGCGGGGCGGTCACATGACCAAGCCCCGCCCCCTGCAACAGAGGGGAAACCTCCGCGGCTGCCAAGCTCCCCCTCCCCACCAGAGGCCCGGGGAGCCGACGTGCCGCGCGTCGATGGAAGCTGCCAGGGCGGCCGG